AGCATAATACATCTAAAATTTATTCTTATGGTGTGTAATTTGTGTGTGGTTTTATGTTTTGTATTTTTTTGAGATGTTGTTTTGCCATATTACTTAGGTCGGTCTTGGACTCATGAGCTCAAGTAATCCTCCTGCCTCAGCCTTTCAAATAGCTGAAAACCACAGGTGTGTGCTTCCATGTACAGCTTGAGATTCATCCATGTTGTTGTGTGCATCCCTAGTTTTTCTTTTTGTTTGTTATTATTGGAGTTTGAACTCAGGGCCTCAAGTTTGCGAGGCAGGTATTCTACCTTGAGCTACACCTCTAGTACCTGTTTCTTTTGACTGAACAGTACTCCATTGTCTGAGTTTACCAGTTTTTTTTTTCTTTCATTTAGCAGTTTATTTGGGCAGGTAGTTATCAGACCACTGTTCGCATTCACATAAAAGTCCATGTAGGTGTGAATTTTCATTTCATTGCTTAGATATGAGATTGCTCAGAGATTATGCAAGTATATGTGTAAAATTACCAAATTGTAAGTTTGATAATTTCTAAAAACATTTCTAAAGTTTTTGTACAATTCTGCATTCCTACTAGAAGTGTTTGGTAGTTCTCTTTGCTCTACATACTTACTTTGGTCAGATGATTTCAATAGTCTAGTGTATGTACAATGGTATCTCACTGGAAATTTTTTTTTTTTTGTTGGTCGTGGGGCTTGAACTCTGGGCCTGGGCGCTGTCCCTCAGCTCTTCCAGCTCAAGGCTAGTGCTCTACCACTTGAGCTACAGCGCCACTTCCGGTTTTCTGGTGGTTTATTGGAGATAAGAGTTTCACAGACTTTCTTGCCCGGGCTGGCTTTGAACCATGATCCTTAGATCTCAGCCTCCTGAGTAGCTAGGATTACAGGTGTGGGCCACCAGTGCACGGATTCACTGGAAATTTTTCCTCATGACTTGGCACAAAGGGAATTCTTCTCTTTTGTAATATTAATATAAAAATATTAGCTAATCCAATTTTTTTCTTGTCCCAATAGGCTTTTAACTCATGGAATGGGAAACATTTTTTTCTGCTAATAGCTATTCTGATATTTATGACCTCATTCAAGGTCCATATAAAATTATCAGTACAAGCAGATGGCCAGGAGAGGCTGAGGTGAAGCAGGTACATCTGCCCTATATGTACCAAACAAATTTGTGTTCATGTACCAATTGATTCGTAGACCTTACACAGTTGGCCCACATCTGTGCCCTAGATCCAATTCAGGATTACACAGTAGATTTAGTTGTCCTGTTCCTTTAGTCTCTTTTAGTCTCCAGTAACAAAAATCTCAGTCTTTACCAGGTGTGGTGGTGCATGCCTGTAATTCCAGTACTCCAGAGGTTGAGGCAAGAGGATTACAAGCTTGAGGCCAGCCTGGGCCATTTAGCAAGACCTTGTCTCAAAACAAAAATAAAAATTCCAGTTGTCTTTGTCTTTCTTGGATCTCACAGCTGTGTGTGTGTGTGTGTGTGTGTGTGTTAGTATTTGAGCTTAAACTTGGGGCCTGAGCACTGTCCTTTAGCTTTATCACTCATGGCTGGTGCTCTACTACTTGAGTCACAACTCTACTTCTGGCTTTGTGGTAGTTAATTGGAGGTAAGTCTCCTTCCTGGTTGGCTTCAAAATGTAATCCTTAGATCCTCAGCATCCTAAGTAGCGAGGATACATGTGTGAGCCACCAATGTCCAGTGTCAACTTTCCTTTAAAAAATATATAGGCATATTGTTGTTTGTAGAGTTTCTCAATTTAAGTATACTTGCTATTTCCTTGTAAAATTCTCTATATTTTTGGCAAGAATATCATAAAAATTACGTTGTATCTTTTGGGGGGCTTATCTTTTTGGGGACCTTTATATAAAGAAGCTTGTTAAGCCAAGTATTCATAATGAGTCTATGTTCTGCGTAAGAATTTGTTCTTCAGTACTAAGAATGAAACCTAGGTCCTCATGTATGCTTTACAAATGCTCTACTGCAGAGCTACCTCTCCGAACTTTGCCCAAGAAATACCAACCTGGTATTCTAAGGAATTAAAAAAAAAAAGAATTTCTTTTCTTCCAAAATCTTCAGTTTGGGTTTTTAGGTTTAGGTTTAAGACTCATTTAAAAAAATAATTTTTTGAGAAAGCTTATGCTGGTCATCCTAATTATGGAGGAGACAGAATTTGGAGGATTGTGCTTTGAGATCAGTAGGACAGAAAGTTTGCAAGATATCATCTCAATTAATAAAACGTGGGTATGGTATCATACACCTGTTATCCTAGCTACTCAGAAAGCATAAATAGGAGGATCATAGTCTAG